CCTTAAAACAAAATAGCAATTAGAAATGTTGGTCCATTTGTGGTAAAATGGTATGTTTCTTTTTATTTGTTTGTCTGATACAGGAGAAAGGAGGAGGTCTTTAGGGAGAGACTACCACCCACTGTGCCTCAAATGTCATAAATGTAACAGACAACTCAACGCTGGGCAACATGCAGAGGTATAGTTAATAAAATGCACCATAGACAAGAATTTTTTTTTATTATTTTTTTGTTTCAGTATGATGAGAAGCCATACTGCTCTTATTGCTACTTAAAGATGTTTGGGCCTAAAGGTGCAGTAAGAACTACTGTATAAATGGTAACCTTTGACAATTACTATAATTCTTTAATTCTTATTCAGGTAACAGGTAACCATTAATGCATTGGAATAATGCAAACAGCTTGTCCTGCCATAAAGACCATAGGCCATAGAAGAAAGGCCTTCATCTGTGGATCAAGACGTCTTACCTGAGCAAAGATGTCATGTTATTAACTGAAATGTTTATTGCATTGTATTTAAAACATCTAGAAATTAAGATTTAAGAACCTTGTATAGGCTACATTTGTCACTCATTACAAACAGTCGTAGTATTGTAGTAATATAGTATTTCAATCTATCACCTTTCCCTGCCCACTTTTTGGAATTTCTCAACAATAAAACCAAGTCAAAGAAAGTGTAAATTTAAATATGATGCTAAAATATCTAATAAAGGTGATCATATAATATAATTTGTATAAAGATTCAAGTTAAAAGTGAACATGGAATAGTTCAAATACCATATTCAGAAAAATGGGCCAGTGAAGAGTGGCAGAGTTTATGAAGGTAACTGCATAAAGCATCAACTATTGTGACTAATGTGGCCATTTTTGGTCCAATCTCTCTCACTGAAAGAAAGAAAAACCCCTGTAGAGGCCAATGAGTCTATTTTAGACACAATGAAAGAAGAACTGTAATCATATGTTTGCATAAAGGGACAACCATACTGATTTAAGATATGTGAGCTTCCTTGTTAACCAGAAATATGTTGTACTATATGGTAACATTGATGTCAAATTTCTCAAATAATAACAAAGTCTATGTGATGTAAAGCTTGTATTTGCATAACACCCAATGTGCCTGAATTCATGAATAATTTGCCATGTGTGTAAGTGAATATGGACCCTCAGGTACCTTTGGCATGGGGCCCCTACGTTTCTGCACTCCGGGGACTGGGGTAACAGAGTATAGAAGGCGAGGGATGGAGGAGACGGTTTCTGTTGGCAGAGCAGGACCGCAGTGGTGCCAGCAGAATCCACTGGAATGGATCAGGCCATCGATGTATCTTTTGCACGTACACACACACCCACATACACACGTACACACACACACACACATGCACGCACGCATACACACGTTCACGCATTGTGCTCAGGGAGGGCTGCAGGGGTCTGTCACACTGTGCTGGGTGAAAAACACAGCTTTGCACGCACAAAGAGAAGACAAAGTGTGTATGTCGTGTGAAGAATTGAGGATGTCACACATGCGCATGCTGTTTAAGGGTTTAAAGGTGATGTCAGTAACTTCAATTGAATTTCATGATTTAAAATAATGTATATTTTTGACCATATGACCATGTAGTATGACATAAATAACAATAACAATATACACATAACAATATATTTACTGCGTTGCATCTCCTTGCCACCACCAGTCAGATTTGCTGGAGGAGAATAGTTGGACCAATGGCAAAGGGCCTTGTCTGTGTATCAAGGATTTAAATGAATTCCCAAACAATCAGGAAGCAGCAGGGGTGAGAATGCGCGAGTCTAACTGTTGCTTATGTTGGAAACAATGCCCCTCTCTCCACAATTCATAAAGTAACTGACATTTACTTGTATAAAAATTGTATCTAGGTCCACTTTTAAAAAGCTTAGATATAATTTTTACCTGCTCCAATTGTTCAAGTTACTTGACTTTGGGAAAAGTGGGCAATATACTGACAAATTTACATCATCATCATCACAATAGCGGTTTTTCATTATATGCAAATGTAGTCTATAATTTTGAGACCTACAATAAACCCATCCATCCATCCATTTTCTTCCGCTTTATCCGTTGCCGGGTCGCGGGGGCAGCAGTCTAAGCAGAGACGCCCAGACTTCCCTATCCACACGCCTAGAAATTCTGTCCATAAATACAGTGAACAGAACCGGTGACAAAGGGCAGCCCTGGCGGAGGCCAACATGCACCGGGAACAGGTCTGACTTACTGCCGGCAATGCGGACACAGCTCTGGCTCCGGTCATACAGGGACCAAACAGCCCTCAGCAGAGGCCCTCCGACCCCGTACTCCCGGAGGACCCCCCAAAGAACACCCCGGGGAACACGGTCGAACGCCTTCTCCAAATCCACAAAGCACATGTGGACAGGTTGGGCGAACTCCCATGAACCCTCGAGTATCCGATGGAGAGTATAGAGCTGGTCCAGTGTTCCGCGACCGGGACGAAAACCACACTGCTCCTCCTGAATCCGAGATTCGACCATCGGGCGTAGCCTCCTCTCCAGTACCTTGGAGTAGACCTTACCAGGGAGGCTGAGGAGTGTGATCCCACGATAATTGGAACACACCCTCCGGTCCCCCTTCTTGTAGAGAGGGACCACCACCCCGGTCTGCCACTCCATTGGCACCGCCCCCGATCGCCACGCGATGTTGCAGAGACGTGTCAGCCAAGACAGTCCCACAACATCCAGAGACTTTAGATAGTCAGGACGGATCTCATCCACTCCCGGCGCCTTGCCACCATGGAGGCCATATTTACCTACAATAAAAGTGCAAGTCAAATCTTTTTACTAGCCAGCGGAGGTAAAGTTCCCAAACTTTGGTGGTTGGTCTTATGTGTAATTAGGGCTGGGCAATAAATCGAATTTAGGCAATTAATCGGCTTTTGAAAAAATCAAATTTGTGAAAAATTGTGAAATTGAATGAAGGATATTGTGAGAGTTCCAGCAGCACATCAATTATACTTGCAATATCAACACAGTCTGTGCAAGACTTATATAATACGTATTGGGGGAAACAAATTAAAAATAGTTTTGAACTTGAATATTGAGCAGAAAGATTAAAAAATGTGTAGGTTTCCTCCGGGTGCTCCGGTTCCCCCTACCACTAAAAACATGTACAATAGGTATGGCATGCGCCTCCTGTACTGGTGACCCTGCTCCCATCTCTGTGTGGAGTGAGAGGACAATTGCCCAAAAAATAACAATTGTAAACCGCTTTGTGACTCTGGTCTGTGAAAAGCGGTATATAAATAAAGATTACTTAAAATATGTTTAAGGGCTAAGTCTGTCTTCAGTGACTTTAATGAAAATCGATTTCAAATCAAAATCGTCCAAAGCAGGAAATAAAATCGAGATTTTACTTTTTTGCCTTATCGCCCAGCCCTATGTGTAATACAAATCTTGAACCTCAATCCTGACATTTAGAACATACGGTTTAGCACAAATATAATGCATTGCGCATTATTGTTAGAATGTCTATCAAAAATAATTGAGATGAAGATAATTTTGTCAATATCGCCCACTACAACTTTGGTATTGTGATTTGATGGCAAGTTATATTCCCTATAAGTTTAGTGATGCTAGCGGCCCTATGATGATTATGTTTAGAATGGATGCCCCCAACTTAATGCATTGTGCGTAAACTAGATTTTTTGTAAAGACTTGTATAACAATGTTGCAGCATAAAATCTTTGAATTGCGTCTCATCCACCCATCCGTTCTTTCCGCTGACTTACCCCTGAACCCCCTACCTTGATAGATCACATGGCTGTAGTGATACCAGCTGGCTGACTGCTCATTTGCATGTGTTTCAGCTACATTGCCTTATTAGAGAAATGGCTGGCAGTGGCTGTGGTAAAGGTGCAGAGAGGCTGGGCTGGGGGTGAAGGAGAGAGTCACGGTGAGAGATCTAAAAAAAATAAAGAAGGCATTAAAACTACTTTGAAATGCAAATGAATGTTAAAATAATCTATATAATCTATATACACTAGGGTATAATGTAAAGCATGTAAAAATGCAGGTTGTATGTGCTTTAACTTGGCCATTGTTGATTATAATTATTACAGTGAAGTTATATTCTTGGGAATATTTTACTTTAGGCTGAGAGTAGTTGGCTATTTGAAAGTTAAAGGGATGTCAAAGGTAAAGCCATGGATCTATTATAATAACCGAGAGTAGGACCATTTTGTCTTCGGAAGGAACTCAACAAAATCTGTTTTCTGACAAGTTCTCTATCGACATCTAGTGGCAAAAATATATGACTGCAGTTAAGTGGACATGAAGTCTTTAAAACCAAACGCACTGTGTTCTGTTTGCATTATATATGGTGTCGAGTTACAACTGCAATGACCCATAAGGAAAAACAAAACAAAACGTATGTGATTTATGCGATAGGTAAATTTTGTTTTGATACTAAATAACCAATGTGTGTGTATTGGGTATGGCTCTGTGCAGAAACAGGTTCTAAACGTAAATAGAATCTGCCTATTTAGCCACAACCCAATGGCTAAATAGGCAGATTCTATTTAATAAATGCTGAATAAATGCTGAATACAGCACATTCATTGGGTTTAGATTGTGGCGAGACTCTCGGGTCGTAGTTTTGAAGGCGACCAGTCTATGATCTGATCGGTCTACTACATAGGACTAACTATGTGTAAGGTCCATAAACTGCGTATACAATGGGAGAATAATAGTAAACAATGTTACATTACTTTCCAATTTCCCACATGATCTCACCTACAGGCATCTTTTTCCCGGTAAACGTCATATTAGTGGTGCGCATGCGCGGTGAGAACGAGGAAGCAGCTCGTCGGATTATGAAGACAGGTCTGAGTGGAGCAGCTGTTTTCTCTACATTAGCAGGTTTAGGTGCTCACATTCTGCCTACAATGGACGGCTGACGGTCTGGATGGAAGTACATATCGGATCGTGAACAGGACGTCCAAAATCTGAGGCAACATGATGTTAGAGTGCGACCCGACAGAGACCGAGGGCGACCTGGACCCAGGGACAGCAGCGGAGCTCGGTAACTTTCCCCCCGAACAGGAACACTCTCACACGGTGTTGTTTGATAAAAGCCGGCTCGGGCTGTCGTTAAACCCCGGGGGCGCGGTGCGGATCTCAGACTCCCGAGAGAGCGTCCTCACGGAGCTGGAGACTGACGGGTCCGGGGAAGAGGCTCTGCTGCTGCCGTGTCTCACAGGAAGCGCTGCGTCTCCAGTGCGCAACAAGAGGCGACACACGCACAGCTCATCCTCCGAGAAGGACACGCTGGCCTCTCCAGGTAATGACGAGAGGGCTGCTCGCAAATCATCCTGTTAGACACTTATGGAGGAGATAGAGCTGCTCTGAAGTCATCATTTCTGACACTTACGAGCCCCACAGCAAATACTCACTGACAACTCCCCTTGATATATGAGTGGGTGTCATGTAAGATTCTATTAATTGGCATATTGTTTTGTGCGTTATTCCTGCACATATATGTCAGAAATCCCAGGGAACCATTTCTAAAGATGCGTTCTAACCCTAATATCTGATGTCGAAAACTATGCCAAAGACATGTGAATGTGACTGGAATGGGGACAATGGTTTTCTGTCTTTAGTGCATTTTGCACACATTAGATAAAGGAACTGTGTCCTACATGCCAAACTGAGTCTTTTGCAGGTCAAAAGTTGAACATTTTTCCTTTACATTTAGAGAAATGTCTGAGTAAATGTGGCTTGTTTGTGTCGTGTTGGAGTCTGTACTGTGTCCTGCATATTCAACAGTGATATGATATCAGTGTTCTGTCTGTTCTGTGTGCAGCGTGGCTGATATGAGTTGGCACATTTAGAGGTAGAAGTAACTTCAGGCTTGCTTCAATCATACCCTCACAAGCTCTTCAAGTTTCTACTTTTTTATTTAAATGATCCATCAGAACAGTTCACAGCAGTACATGTTCACACCAAGAGCCTACTCAGTCTTTGCAGATAGTTGCCAATGACGGACACAACACCTACGTGAACGCACCAGAACTGCCACACCTCCTCTTCAAACCTTTGCTGAAGTAAAACAATTTGTGTTGTATGTTTTTAAAGGGTTTCTGTTTATTTTCATTTCACATTTCTCTAAAGTTACTTACTCAAATCACCATGAATAGGTTGTTTTTAAATAACTCTTTCAAATGTGTACATGATTTCCAAGTTAATTAGGTTAACATGAGGTGTTTTTGATTATCAAACTAATTATCCAGTCAGAACGCAGAAAAAGACAAAACATAATAGTATTTTTTATGATCCCACAACTTTTTTCTAGTTCTGAGAATGAAGTTCAGACATTGCTCAATGTGTCCAATTTTGACCTGTTTAGAATCAATACTTGCTCAATTGTATTGCTCAATTTATACTTTCAAAATCTGTTTTAGTATCTATTAATTTGTGATTTTTGATACTCTTGTGATACAAATTTCCTACAAATCAGGAGTGAGTCAATTTATCTGGTCAATTAAGTAGAATTACAAAATAAATTGGATATGCATGTCCTCAATGCTGTCAATATCAGAATGTGTATATTCATCATCATCATTCAAATTATACTGTTCAGTCAGGTATTTGTATTATAGATTTATGGACCATTTATTCATTATTTTTTTAGTGATATGCATATTGCTAAGGTCAATCCTGATATATTGCTATGTTGAGTTCAGCCCCATTTGAAACTCAAGTTCAATTGCACTTTCATACAGGGCTGGGGCTTCCTGCAGGTCGAGGTTTTTGACACAAGCCATAATGTGTGAAATACTACTTTTCTGCTCTTATGCCATTGATTGTCTAAGAAAAACATAATAATATAAAACGTGATATGCAAAGGTTCTACTGGGGCAGAGCGAGATGACAAGGTGATCCAGTCCGTAACCATAGCAGCAGCACACTCTGAGTCCTGTCAGCTAATTGGTTTAACACCACACCCACGCCTCGTACTCAACCTCATTTTTTCTGACAGATCATTTTTAGATCATTGTTTCTTTTATCTATTGAGGCGATCCGGGTCCTGCTATTTTTGAAAGATGTGACATGTTGTTGTTTGACCATGTTCTATCAGATGTGGAAATCTAGGCCACAGGTACAAACTGGGCCTCAAATCACTGGAGTCCCATTTCCTGCGGTCTCTTAAAATGACGATTCTAGAAGATCCAGTTACGCTTTCAAAGTCTAACATGAGGTTATTTGAGTATGCCAGCGTTTGCACCGCTATGGTTGGAGGCAAAGTTAAAACCTCTTCAGACAAAACCTTTTTTATATTTGGACTTAAACAAACTTGTACTTGTTAGTCTTGCTGGATTAGGCAAAACCAAATGCAAAATGCAAAAGAGGTTTGCAAATTCACAGAAGCAAGATGTATTGCTTACTACTGAAAAACTGTGACATTTCAGGCACAAATAGTGAAATTGCTTGTCTTTTACACATAAATGTGACAATATATATATAACCGCCGCTTAATGAGCTAATCCAAAGTCTAGATTCAAAATGGTTTCATATGGAATCTCAACTTTCCTGATAAAAAAATGTGCTAAACATGTGCCAAACGACCTTCGCTTTTAATAAATAAAGCTAGCCTAAAAACGTATTTGAAATATTTCTTAAAACCTTCAATCACCATTTTTGTTTTGGTATAAACAAGTGTTAAAAAAAAAAATTCAACATATTTAGCAGACGATTTATATTTTATCTACAGAACCATACATAACATGCTTAACATTGCTACCATTCTATTTTTACACTGCATCAAATCCACTTTGAGCATGCATACCTGTAATTATGTACTCATGCACTCTCACTAAATGTATATGAATTGATTGGCCACAGATTTCAGAATGGAAGTTTCCAGAGGGAGGAGTGGCGGTCTGTCTGCCTGAAGAGAAAGACTTGTAGCCCATTAGCTAACCCAGGGTGCATGGGAGAGACATATGGGCACAAGTCAGATCTATCAGTAGAGGCGTGGCATGAGTATACACAAAATATATCTTGCACGGATCCGGTCTTTGTACAGTAGCTATAGACTGTAAAGTACATAGTAAAGGTTTGCATTGGAGCTGAAAATATTACAACATTTCGAGTCAATTCTGCAGGAACCAAAGCTGAAAGCAGAATTCTACCTGCCTTTTCCAAGCCTTCCTAATTGCCTCCACTTCGATGAAGATATAAGGTTCCTCTGCCAAAAGTTCGATGCAGCCAAAATGCCCATCACGAATCCGACATGAAAGCTTGGGAACGTATCAGTGTGTGCAGATCTTTGGGTCCTGGGGGTTTGTGAGCCATGAGGTCACTGCAGGGGTAGGGTGATTTGTAATTTCATATTCTGTGCTCTTTAATGCCATTTCATCACTTATTTACCTTATTATCCATCTTTGGCAAATGTTGTATACTCAGAAGAGAAGAGAGCATGAACCATTTGACTTTTAGTTACAAATGTCTGTTTTCATTGTTAGATTTTCTAATGCTACTGGTGATACTGCTGATAGTTTTGTCAGATATCTCTAGACATCTGCCTGTCACAACGATTAGTAGTGCAACACCATTCAATAAATGACAGCAAGGTCAATATATATTATGTTATGTTATTTTTATAACCCATATATTGCTTTTTTTCTCTGGCTTGTTTCCATGGATTTGCTCACTTGATTTGATCTAATTTGAGTCAGTATTGTCACCGTTACAGTTTATTCTAATGTATTTATTTAGCACTCGCAATAAAAGATCCATCAAGATTATTATTGCGACAGGCCCATCACAACAGCTTGTGATATGTATTTTGAATCGATTTTGAACCTCTTCCGGCCCTCAGTCTCTGGTTCTCGTTCCCTTCCTGCTGTGACTGATACAGAGCATATGGAGCCACTGTTCCTCCATGTGACAGCAAGATGGACTCCAGTCAGCGCATGTGATCCTTGGGCATTAAATGAATGAATAAACAACGAGCAGCTCGTATCCAACAGGGAACCGTCATGTCTATTGAATAATACATGAAATGATTTTGTTATAATGCAATGCGTTTCTTTCATTTAGATGCGCTTTCAGACATCACAGACGAGGACCACAGTATTCACTCATTGTCCATCAGGAAATTAAATGTCAAAATATGATTTGTCTATGATGGTTAACTATGTTCTATATATTATTGTACTGCTTCCTGTATTTGGACACCCCTACTCTAATACAAGTGACTGTACGAACACGGAGCAGTTAATGTACCTTTACAGAACTAAGCCTTTCTGTCAATAGATGCCGTCAGATATCATATTTGCATAGTGTCTACTGCTTTAAATTTTGCTGCCTATTCATTCAACTCTATACACTCAAACTCAATGCTTACTAAATCAAGGCAACACAAAGCGCCATATCACATTAGGCAAAAATCATACACATCAAAAATACAATTAAAATTCCACAGGACATTAAAAAACATTTGGATCAAATATTAAAAACATAGAAAATAAAATCACACAGGTAATTAAAAACATTAAAACATAAAAAATGTTCCGACGGACTTCTTTCCTAATGTAATCATTTTATTTCACTCTGCAGGGGCCCACCACGCAGACGTCAACCATTTCCCAGATGACCCAGAGTTTGCAGACATCATCCAAAGGGCAGAACAAGCGATTGAAAATGGATTCAACCCAGAGCGCATTTCACAAGGTTCCAGTGGAAGCTACTTTGTCAAGGATCCGAAAGGGGTACAGTTCAAATTTATAAATACAGGAATAGTTGTGGGGTTATTTGTTATGATTGTAGGACACATGGTAATGAATATTTTTGATGCAGAAAGTCATTGGAGTTTTTAAACCAAAGTCTGAGGAGCCGTATGGCCACTTAAACCCCAAATGGACCAAATACTTTCACAAGGTATAGTCTCTTTCATCTCTTGTGTTTGTACGTTTACAAGTTGTCGATAAAACATGCTCATATTTTTCTCTCTTCAGTTATGTTGTCCCTGTTGTTTTGGTCGGGGATGCTTGTTGCCAAATCAGGGTTACCTGTCGGAGGCTGCCGCTTCGTTAGTTGATTCAAAGCTTGGTCTTGGTGTAGTGCCCAAAACAAAGGTAAGGATATTGAAGATCTTTTTGGGTTTGTGAGACCTATTCTGCAATTGTTCCCTCATCAAAAGCAGGCCAGATCCAGCCACACTCATGGGGGAACCTCTGGCACAAACATGTAACCTCCCCGCTTCTGTCTGAAAGATCCTGTCTCAGTCTTGTAATTGTACCTCTATAAAATCATGCTCAGAGCGCTTTTTGACATTTGAAATGAAAGTGTTTCCCATTAATTAGTTATGGCAATTTGAGTGAAAGGATGCTTCTTTAGCATGTGTTAGTAGCCGGTGATTTTCATCTTTGGAAAAAAAATAATAATAAACTTGTCCTTCTTTTGTTAAGGTGGTGTACCTGGCCAGTGAGACATTCCACTACAGCGCAATAGACCGAGCCAAATCCAGAGGGAAGAAGTACGCCTTAGAAAAGGTTCCCAAAGTCGGGCGCCGCTTCCATAGAGTGGGCCTGCCTCCTAAGGTACAGCTAACGAGCTTCAAGGATCATTTTATGAGTGAATATAAGAATGATAATGATAGATTATGTTATGGGTAAACTACACAACAAATAGTGCCAAAATAAAGTGTCTAAATTAAGATATACCTTTGTTATATTTGAAAACAAATTTCAGTTGGCATTTTTTGTTTTCATGTTGACAAATCTATTACTTTGGGAGCAGGTCTTGTTTATTGTTGCTTCTTTTCTTATCACTTAATTCAGCACATAACCGTTTCAGGAAGTTGCACATAACTGTTTCAGGAAGTTTGGGGTTTTTTTCTTTTTTTTAATACAGTTTTTGGCGAGCCACAAGATCCCACAAGATAATATTGCATAGCATTTTTACGTGGGAAAATGGTGTAATATAAACATGATGAATGGCGTTAGTTCGATTTATCTCAGACCTGCAGAACACAATTTCACACATCTTTACACAATTAAAGATTTGAAATGAGGTTGAATGAAGCAGATGCTTATTTTTTTCCCCAACCCCCTCTCACAATTCAACACAATACACAGAATACAATGCAATTAATCAACATACAGAAAGCAAATATGCTGTGCTTTACATTGAGTAATATACAATACCCTACCATGGTAGACACACAAAACACTCAAACACACACACATACTGGGCCACTCTGCTTACCCAACCCCCCTGTGCTAAGGACAACACTCTCCATTTTTGTATATTTTTTTCATTGTAACAGCTTTTTGAAGATGTTTTTATTTCATCTGCTAAATTTTTCCAGAGAGTAGAATAAGAAGATAAGATGGACTTTATTGATCTCACACTGGAGAAATGTACATGTCACATTTGGCATAGATAGAATCACTCAGGTTGTGCAAAAGGCCGTAGTGCGCAAACATGTTAAAGGTTAAAAATAGTCTAGTCTGTGCAGGATATAATTATGTACAATAAAAAAGTGGCAATAGCGACTTAAAGTGACTTATTGTACAGTCTGACAGCGGTGGGATGGACCACCGCTGTCAGACCGCTACCACAGGAAGGTCCTGTGGTAGCTCTCCTTCTTGCACTGAGGTCTCAGTAAGGAGTACATTTATTCTGTGGTTGCTGTATATTTTTCGTTTCACCAAACAGTTGCTGCTTAATGTATGTGATTTTTAATGGAGTAGGCTTAACTAAATGGCACAATTCGATCATGAAAGATAACAGTGCACGGGTAATGGAAGATGAGAGAACCTTTTCTTCGTCCCACAGTGGGGAAATGGACCGGGCTCTTCCTACATCACGTCCCATCCACACACCAAACATAATTTCAATCATTCTTGCAGTTCAATCAATCCCCCTCCTGTTCTCATGGATTCTTTCTCATGTCACTCTTAATATTTCCCATGATTGCTAAGTGCGTGTATGGGTCTTCAGGTGGGCTCATTCCAGCTGTTCGTGGAGGGGTACCGTGAGGCTGATCACTGGCTCAGACGCTTTGAGGCCGATCCGCTGCCAGAGAACATCCGGAAGCAGCTGCAGTCTCAGTTCGAGCGCCTGGTCGTGTTGGATTATGTGATCAGAAACACAGGTGTGTATGTGAATGAACGAATGAATGAAAAGTTTATTTGAACATGGAATGAAAACAACAGAATAACTTAAAGGAGCTATACCCGTTTGAATGTTTAGCACAGTCCCCCAATGCGCTCACAGGCTTCTCATTCAATTAAATTACGGACTATAATACAATTTGTATGTAGTAATTAACATTTTTATGAACTCATTAGAAAATAAATCGGGTATAGCATCTTTAAAGTTGCAATCAAGTCATCATTAAATTTCCCTAATATGTCAAAAGGCATTCATAAACCATGCTCTTTTTCAATACTTCTTTAACTGATGACTGTAGTTCAGCCAAGATATTTTAATTTCAAAATTACTTTTACAGCCCCTAAATCTTGTCATTGTTTTAATTTCAATGTCCCGCCCTCCACCGTTTTACCAATCAGAAAGTCCCTGGTCCAGGTTGCCAGAACTCACCGCATGGAGCTAATCTCATTGATAAAGTAACATGTGGCTGCAAGACAAAACATTTGTTTATGATTCTCAAATTATTCATGACAAAACACAAAGTATAAAACCAGGATTTCTATCAGGGCCTTTGTGAAAAGAGTGTGTGTTGACAATAATCTTGTCTATTCAGATTTTATGGTCCCAGCTGTATTCGTCTCCATATCTGGCAACCTGAGTCAGGGAGAGTGGGAGTATTTGCAGTACCATTTTTGGCCAGATGTTTACATAGGGTTGGACATGGGACATGGTTCCTCATTCCTAAAAACGTTATGTTGAATGTTTACTAAAGTTGTGTGTAAGAACAAAGCCAAAAGGTCTACATACTTTGGGCCCTTTCTGTTTTTCTTGGCTCAGATCAGGTTTTGTCCCATTTTTGTAAGCACCATCACAAAATGATCGTGTGTTTGACCGACTCGCCCATTACTAAGTCATTATGTCTTTTTACATATCGCAACCATAACGCGGAAATTGCCTTATGTAACATTCTTGTATGTATTTATGAACAAGAATACAGCAAAGGGCGCTCTGGGAGGGCTTCTACCACCTAGAGGAAAAAAGAAGCGCTAATTACAGTATACAGGTATGGTGCTGAGGACATACCGTTTTGTACTGTGGTATGTAGAGTTCAATATTAAATGCATTGGGGGCGACAGTGGCTCAGTTGGTAGAGCATCCGCCTTTGGGCCTGAAGGTCGTGGGTTCGAGCCCACTGTAAGACCTACTTCACGACTCCCACTGATGTCTGCTGTCGTTGTGTCCTTGGGCAAGACACTTAACCCCACTTTGCCTGAAGCCCCCGCTGAAAGATCTCAGCTCCTGTGGACTCACCACCTGCAGGAGGATCAGTGATGGGCTGATGCTCTGTGTACTGGGTGCAGCTCTGACTGCCTCCTCCCCGTCCCAGAAATGGATTAAGGGGAAGAAAATGGATGGATGGATGAATTAAATGCATTGGAATATCCGACTGGACACTTCTGCTTCACCGTTCATATTTTATTTGAGTTATTTTTCCATATCGAGTGACACTTAAAGGCACATCAATGCGTCATCACACGTTTTGTAAATTAGGTCGCTACAATTAAACAAAACAATATCATCCCTCTTGAGAAAGGAAGTGGGCATTGTCAAGGACTTATGTAAGGCTGTATCTCTTTTCTTTCAAGTTAAGGACATCATTATAATTCATTACGGTACTTTAACTTCCCCTCAATAATTAATGAATTTGCATCTTTCTTTTTGATTGGGCATTGGCTGGGGCATTACTTTAGTTTCAATAAGGACCAAAGCTTGCATAATTTGTACTGTGCCGAATATTTTACTAAAACGCCTTCCAAAATTAGCAAATTGTTTTGATAAGTGTTATATGTATGACAAATTGCCCTGTTTTTGAATAGCATTGGGTTTGAAAAACATGATGGAGGGAACCCACGACTAATGCAACTTTCTGCAGCCAATTATAAACTTAGATATTTGAAACTCTGCAGCTCTTATCTGCTGCTGTTCAGAGTCCTGCAGTTTGTTTATACAGCCCTATTTCTGTGCCTGTTCCTCTCAAAGGTTTAAAAATACTTCTTGAACATGTTTTGCTGACATGCTTTCTCTGAACACACCTTTGTTTTTCAGACCGAGGAAATGACAACTGGTTGATCAAGTACGAGAAGCCAGGAGTAGGCGAGGGTGAAAAGGTACTCTCCAAAGGTGGCCAGTTGTAACATGATTTGTTGATGCGTCAGCCTTAAATGTAATGGTTTATTTTCTCTTATTGATCTATTTTCCGTTATCCACCCAGACTAATCCAAATTTCAAACATTGATACATTTGATGGATGTCATTTTTTAACAAGGCAGACTTTTGTTGTTTTAAATGTATTTTTTAGCTATTTTGAAATACTGATATTTTAATTTTTTTGTATGAATAGAGGATCTGTTGAATATTTTGCAGCTATTTTCCTATGTTTGTCTTTAAGATAAGATGGACTTTATTGATCTCACTCTGGAGAAATCTATATGTCATATTCGGCATAGAGTCACTCAGACAGAAGTGTGTAAACATGTTTAAGGTTAAAAATATAGTCTGTAGGATATAATTATGTACAATAAAAAAGTGGCAATAGCAGTGCAGGTTTTTTCATTCTGACAGCAAACTACAATTGATAATTCTAGAATAAAAATAAAGTATTAAAAACACAATTACTTTAGCATTGACTTTGTAGCTGCCCAGAAAACAAGTGCCTTCTCATTCAAAGGGCCCCACACAGGCAAACAATGGTCTGTGTGCAACTAGAAAGGACCAGTGGCCTTGTGACCTGCCTGGTTCCTTTGGGAGTTGTGGCTGTCGTTAATTCATCATAGATGTCATGTTGTCATGCCTCCGTCCAAGTAATCATTCTTCACTGGGTGGATCGATAGCTGGTGTGGTCATGGGTTGTAGATTATGATTGAACGGATATCATTAATGCTGTATATTCTGTCATGTGTAGGATGCAGAGTGGCCAGAGGGCATCACAGACTCCTGCATCAAGATAGCGGCAATTGACAACGGACTGGCCTTCCCCTTTAAGCACCCGGATGAGTGGAGAGCCTGTATGACGCTGTCACAATCTCGTAAAAATAAATGTCTCCTTTGTTTTACTGACAGGCTGCTCTGTTCTGTTTCTCATTTAGACCCGTTCCACTGGGCCTGGCTCCCTCAGGCGAAAGTGGCCTTCTCCCAAGAGACCCGGGACTTAGTGCTGTCGCGTCTGTCAGATATGAACTTTGTCCAGGACCTCTGTGAAGACCTCTATGAGATGTTCAAGGTGCAGATACAAGTACTACATCTAGGACCAGTGATATAATAAACAACAGCTGGAGAATATCATACAGCCCTTTTCATTGGAGCTATTTCTGGTTTTAAATAATATGGAAAATTGGGCCGAGTTTGGCACAGGGGGACATTTAACTGTTGATGCAGGATAGTGTCATTTTCTTGTTTGAAAAGGCTCACTGTATTATTTTAAGCATACACTTGGCATAGGGTTACGGCCCAGGGGCCACGTCTAATATTCTAGTGTGTATATATAATCAAATTTTACAACTAAGATTATTTAAATTGTGGTTCAAATTTTTGACACAGTCCTCTTCAACATTTTCTTTTTCATGCGGCCCCCTGTAAAAAATAATTGCCCACTCCTGGTCTAGGTAGTTAAACCTAAGAGTTTTTCTCAAAATAAAACAAAGTCAACACTTTACTTTTTGCTACTAAACCTAATAGCATCTTTGATGCCTCAATGAAAAGAAAGACATCATTAAACACATTTTTTATGAATAAAATATGAATTATGAAGTTTTGTTGAATATTGGCAATCATTGCCAAGCGGTTATGTGATTTACTGTTCTAACAATGTGTTTCTCTGTAGACAGATAAAGGCTTCGACAAGACCATGTTTGAGAGACAAATGTCAGTGATGCGGGGACAGGTGAGACTTTCCTCTTGTTTTCTTCTCATTCAGGTCTAATTATGATCCAGAATCTTTACATTTGACAAAATTACATTATGTCCCTTAAAGGTCGATTTGGAATAATGGATGTATTGACACATTAAAATATAATGATGATGGTCTTATAAAGACTGTATATAAGGAGATCAGAACGCTGTGTATTAAAACTGAATTAAGAATGGGGTGCTTAACTTTTGTTTATCATGACAAATTCATGTTTGTCCAACTGAAAGATCAAATCAGACCATAATATTTTATTGTGATTTTATTAAAAAACAGGGCAAAAATACATGCATGGGAAAACTTTTGTGTCAAAAGCAAGGGACTTAGTAGGATGGATTTTATTCATTTAAAATTCAGATAAGCAAAAATGTAATTTTGTCTTGACCAAACTTGCTGCAACCCCTCTAGTAAACTTGTTCATTTGTAGGTGCTGAACCTCACCCAGGCCCTGAAAGATGGAAAGAGCCCAATCCAGCTGGTGCAGATGCCCCGCGTGGTGGTGGAGCGCAGCCGGTCCGGAGGTCAGGGGCGGGTGGTCACTTTGGGAAACGCCTTCACACAGACTTTTCACTGCAAGCGCCCGTTCTTCTCCTCTTGGTAGACCGCCGTCTGGGACACAATGGCGCTGAATACTGTGAAAGACTGAATGTATGTGAAACCAGGCTCTTATTTTTGTAAAGCGGGAGTGATGCGTTTGCAACAGACTGTGAGGATGTTTTAGTTACCAAGGTGAATTTAAAAAGCATAATCGGCTTTTCTATTGAAAAGGGATTTGTTTATTGTGAGGCTGAACATTCTTTTCCTACCCTCTTAAAAGTTCCTGCTAAAATCTTACGAGGTTTCCAAGAAGGACTAATGGCCAAAGAACAAGCACTTTCCACTATGGTGTTTTTGGAATACCACAAGATAAAATAATGACGTTCTTTGCCTTTCACTGGAGTGTACTGGGTGTTAATTTTATCCACTGGGTTCAACACACTAGCTCTTTTCCCAGTGTTTGATTTCAAATGACACAATTACAATTACAACAGTGTCTTCTTGTCTCTACTGCCAAAAATGATTGTGGTTGTAAGGGATGCTCCAAAGCCTCAAGAATAGGAAAACATTGAAACTTGAAACTTGACTCATCTCCATGAGTAGGAGGAATGCGTATTGCTTGAATGTAAGCTGTTTACGGTTTCTATACACTTTTACTCTGAAACATTTCAATACAAGAAATCAAATATGTCTTAATGAATGTATTTGTTGTTGTATTTAATTGCTGGTGAGTTTTGTTTATTTTGCTGCTGGCAGAATGGGGATGGCCCCAGGCCATTCTCCTTTAAAGTGAGTTGTATAAAGATAAGTCAAGAACGACATTTTTCACTGGCTCAAAGCTGTTGTGTTATGTCAGTATCTTTGCATTTTTATGAACTCAATGATTGTATAAACAAGTTGTATATTTAACTTTATCTTTGAATAAAACTAACTGCTTTCTGCTGGCTCTTGACTACTGTGTGGATACTTGTTTGACTCAGAGTAACTTTTCTATTCTGACGTAAAACACCTAAACGACAGGTTGTCATGTTTAGGTGCTTATCACCATGTCACTTTGTGAAGTAGCTTTTCAAAGTTCAAACTTCGACTTAAGTTCCATTAGAATTATATCATTTCTGTCCACTAGATGTCGTCTTGCCCTAGGTTCCCACATGAAACTGCAGACTGCATGCTGTCCAGTCCAGTCACTGTCTAAATATTGAGACAGGATGATGTGCCCCTCTCAGCTCTCACACAGGTGCTCCACACAGACTCTGTCCAGGTTGACGTATAGACTGGAGCCCATCTCAGGATTACTTTAGTTTGGAAAACGTGGCATGATTCGCCGAATATGTTACTTTTATGGACAAAGCCGCTTCTTTTACCGGTCCTCATTTTCCTCATGACCAACGACTTAGGCGGAGCTGACAAGTGCGCGTCCCCGTGTGATGCGCGCACATGTCCGAGTCCCAGCTGTCCGGGCGCCTCGGTCCCAGACCGCTGCAACTGCTGCCTGCTGTGCCCCCCCGGGGAGGGGGAGCCCTGCGGCCGCAGAAGTGACCTCCCCTGCGGCGAAGGGCTCGAGTGCCGTCTGTTGAGCGCGGAGAGGCGCAGAGGGACGTGCAGATGTCGAAGTCAGCAGGAAGTGTGCGGGACGGACGGGAACACTTACCCCAGTGTGTGCAGGCTGAGAGCCGCCAGCCGGGCAGCCCAGCACCGCGGCCAAGCGGAGGTCCGACTAGAGCACAGAGGGCCCTGTGCCAACCTCAGCTCAGGTGAGACACCCCCATGGGGATTATTCTTTCCCCTCATGAGTCCAGCTGTCCTAAGCATACTGCCCTTGTTGATTTATGCAGCGTCATCCCTTTTCTACTTTGTCAGGTTATGTATATATGTGTTTCAGGACACAAATCAGATCATCACAGCAGTCCTCGCTTCAAATTCAACTTTATTGCTGATGTTGTGGAGCGAATAGCTCCTGCAGTGGTTCACATTGAACTTTTTGTGAGGTTGGTGAAGTTCATGACACTCCTGTTTTGCCAGTTTCTCTTTATGCACATGAACACTGTTTCTCTGTCCAGACATCCCTTGTTCGGCCGCCACATGCGCCTGTCCAGTGGCTCAGGGTTCATTGTGACACACACTGGTGTGATTGTCACCAATGCCCATGTTGTGACCACCATTAGCCCCTCAGTGACCAGCAGACCACAACTGCGTGTCCAGCTCCAGGATGGAGGTGCTTATGAAGCTGTTCTCAGAGATGTTGACAAGAAGACCGACATCGCCACAATCAAGATCAGTCCACAAGTAAGAGACAGAAGGGTTTGGACAAAGGTCCTGGTCAGAACCTTTCGCTGATGGTCATAACGGGAAGCCTTGATAATATAAACATCTGCCTTCTGACTCAGAAGCCTCGCTCTAGTGTGTTTTCTCACATACTTGTCTCAAATAGTTTGTCGACATAGTCAAGATATTCTTTTGGCACCACATGAGAATACAGGAATTATTGTGCCTGAATTGACTCCCTTTGGTCTGCTTATTTCGCTGTATGCAATCGGTGATCATATCTAGTGCATTTCTCATTTGTCCTATCTCACAAGTATACAATGAATAAGTCTAAAAGTAGAACTAACTGGAGATTCTAGTAATACAATGCTTATTACTCGGTGTATATATCTAGTCACAGTTGAGTTTAAGATGTACATGATAAACCTAGAATATACCAAAATCGTACATTTGTCAAAGAACTACTGAGATTGTTCACTAAATCCTAATTTTTTTATGTTTTATGACAAACTCATATGAAGTGTTTTGTGTTTACTGTATGTTGGAGCAGAAGAAGCTGCCTGTCCTCTCTTTGGGCCCCTCCTCAGACCTGAGGCCTGGGGAGTTTGTGGTGGCCATCGGAAGCCCCTTTGCTCTTCAGAACACTGTGACCACTGGCATCGTCAGCACCGCGCAGAGGGATGGCAAAGAGCTGGGCATCAAGGACTCGGACATGGACTACATACAGACAGACGCCATCATCAATGTGAGGCTGTACAGCTGTCATCTCTATGCTCTGTATGTACCTGTCTTTATAAACATTCTTCATGCCTTTCTTCTTTTAGTATGGAAATTCAGGAGGGCCACTAGTAAATCTGGTGAGTCATGATTTTGATATAACTTGCATACATAACACTAGGCCTGTCAAGGTCAATCAATCAAGATGTTTATATCAGAACACGGACAACAAAAACAAAGAAAAATACTACATATACCTACATATTTTAGCTAGTTAATTAGTTAGATACTTTATTGATCCCTGTAGGAGAAATTCAGGTGTCTAGTAGCAGCAAAAACACATCTATCCACACAAAAAAAACAAATGAATTGATTATTCTAAAAAGCTAACAATAGTAATAATAAGAAACAGCACTTCAGGTCACAGCAGAGAGTTCTGAAAAGGGTTTGGATAAAGCAGATGATTATATACGTCAAACCCCTCTCACTCATTCAACACAGACAAGGTGATTTGGATCAAAAATACAAAAGCAACAGTAGAAAAGTAACACAATACAATATCATATATGTAATAAGGCACACACACACACACACCTACAGACAGAACCGGTTCTGTAAATGTTTTTATCCACACAGAGAGGAAAACAAATCTGTCCACCACCCCACACACAGCGGTGGTATACTTGCACTGCAGTCACAGCTGCCCTGGGTCCCTCCTACCTCCCACCCAGACAAGCAGATTCATCCCAACTCACATGTCTTGCCTCCAGAGCCCTACCATATGTATGTCAAGGCCCCACTAAGCCCAACATTACTCATTTAGGACCACCAATAATTCTGTCAAAGAGGAACAATGGAAAAAAAAAAATCGACATGTATAAAACGTTTTATTTTTGGGTTTTTTTAACACATGTTTTACACATACGTTTTTCTGCAATCCAATTGGCTTTTAAAGCAATGTCAAATGTTGCATAATTGGTGGGACATTCTTGGGGGCACATGCTTCGTCCACGTATCAGGTAGAAGCTGGCCCTGCTTGCCTCCAGCTGTCTCCCATCCAACCAGGCCTCACACTGCTGAGCTGAGATCTCACCAGCAGGTACAGTAAAGCCACTGTGTGTGTTTCAACAGGACGGAGAAGTGATAGGCATCAACACTCTGAAGGTCACCGCTGGGATCTCCTTTGCTATTCCTTCTGACCGGATCAGCCGCTTCCTCACGCAGTCGAAAATCAAGCACAAGAAAAATCGGGGATCAAAGACTAGCAGGAAAAAAGGTGTTTTGTCTGTTTTGAATGAATTGTCTACGCCTTTTATTAACAAATGTTATCACAGAGAAGACGAGGCTTCAACGATATACCAGCGAATCCCGGTCTGTTGAAGGTGAGGCCATGCAGTGGCTGCTTGCAAAAGTACCACTGAACCTTTTGTAAAAAAATAATAATAATTTGAAAAATATGATTTGTTTTTATGGACAAAGCTGCTTCTTTTACCGGTCCTCATTTTCCTCATGACCAACGACTTAAGCGGAGCTGAAAGACCAAAACAAAGTAAGAGGCGATTGTGAGGTGAAAGCATTATGATAAATGATTTTGTGAGTAGTATACGTGTACTTGAATTATCTTTTCTGAACAAACAGCAAGGCCTTACACATCGATAGATAGATAGATAGATAGAAGAAAATGCAACAGGGCATCTCAAGACATAAAAGGTTGACAAGTCGCACAAGCCCCACTTTTTATATATTTATATATATACAACAATTATGTATCATTTTGCTTTCACTTTGCTTTGTTGTGGTCTTTTGGAAAATAACCCAAAATAAAATCTTTGCAGTCATGACAAGTGCAAAGGTTCAGTAGTACTTTTAAAAGTCATGGCAAAGCTATAATTGTTTCAGTGTTCATATGTGACATCACTAACTGTATTCTCATGTTGCTATAGACGCCCCACATGTCAAAAGGAGATTTCTGGGTATAAAGATGCTCACAATTACAGATGAGTGAGTTTAAAATGGCATCAGCAAAAACATCAGTATGTCATTTGTTTCTTTCTACCACTCAGCTCTCCTTTGTTTCAGTTTAATCGCAGAGTTGCAGCTTGAGAACTCTCATTTTCCGTCGGTCAGTCATGGAGTTTTGGTGCAGCAGGTCATTCCCAACAGTCCGGCTGAAAGGTGAGCTCACATGTCTGCGATGGCCACTGCTGACACGTACATTTAAACGTTATTGTTTTATTTCAGTGGAGGGCTGAAGCAGGGGGATATCATCGTGAAATTAAACGGCCAAACGGTCTGGAGCATTGAGGACATCTGGGAGGCTTTACAAAGTCAACATCCACTGCTGTTTGAGATTCTTCGAGGCCATGAAAGCCTTCTCTTTCACTTAGAACCACAAGAGTGAATAAAATCAAGCTTCTCATCTCGGTACTGAAAATACATTTTATAAGGTAAGCCTGATTGGGGTCAACAAGTATTTCCATACCAGTAAATACCATTACTGCGGACTACAATGACAAGAAATAAAACATATACAATTGCAATACTGAATCAAGATTTTTGTTCCGTGACCCAATCTCTCGCCTGGTCTTGTCGGTCATTCCACAATAACTGAACAATTGTATTCAAAGAGTTGTGGGATAAAACACACTCATCATAATGTGTTCCAACATGATGTAAATGTAGTGTTGTCATGTAGTGAATGTTTGCCTTGTTATGGTATGGTAATTTAAATTCTGTAAATAACTCAGCCTTTTATTGAATCTTATGCCTCATGATCAGTGCAAGACAAATGCTCCACTGAATAAAAACAGCAATTATAATAACGGATTTTCAAAAGTGTAATTTCTTTGTCTGTAAATGTAGTTGGAGTGAGAGCACGTGAGTCGCAGATGCAGACAGAAAACCTCAGTGTTTATTCCCTGTTCAGTGTCTCCCATAGTTCCTCCCTGCGACAGATGTGCTGCTAATTCAAACAAACCTCCCACTAGAGACTGGAAAATCAGTTATGTCTTCTCCTGCTTTTCTCACGGAAACACATTTAGCTTTTCACTGAGATCGTTCTTGTACTTTTTAAAATCCCCTTAAATTACTTTATTACCAACTCAAGTAGTTTTCTGCTTATATGCCATTTGTTCTTGTGCTTAGATACCAGGGCTGCTCTATGATAACACCTATTGATAAAACTACTGTATAGTAACAGTACTTTTACTTTTAGTTGTTTCTAAAACTAAGTACAACCTCTCATTGTATAAATATTTGGCCTTCAGAGTACCATTATAAACCAGATATAAAGCAGGACTTTTCTGCATCTAAATTTGGTTTTAATCTAAATTCTAGACATCCAAAAGTTTCTCATTTCAATCAAAAGTATTTTAGACTGTGCCTGTGGAGTGGACTGCTTGCAGTTGGATTGTTTGTCTTGTGTGAGTCTGTGGTGATGTTGAGGTCTGGCCAACACATTCATCATACTGAACAATTCACTTTAGCACAGAGTTCTCTGCAACTCTCAGAAAATGAATATTTAACCTACTCAGCTACAGCTTCTTTAATAGCTATTCTAGGATGTTTCTATTACTCAAACACCATGTAGGTCATGTAAGTCTACAATTTGGATTTGACTGTACTTGTTTGTGTAGATTTGTATTTATTTGTTTGCTTTTGCCCTATATTATCCCAAAGTCTAATGTTAATCCATTAAAATTAGTAAATTTCCCTTTCTGATCCTAATCACACGGCACCAGCTTGTGTACGTCTCAAAGTCGACCAGTAGATGGCGTTTGTTGTACGAGGATATTCTGACGTGGCAAGAGTCGGATGAATTTCAATCAACAATAAAGTACAGTATTGAGAAATATAAGGGTAGAACATTATAGATTGTGCTGTGTAGATAATGTAATCAGTAATTTAATTATTAGTTTGACTATGTAGCCATTTAATGAATGCTGTTATTCGAAATATGTTTTATTTCCCGTGTGCTGTAGACATGACATGAACATAGACAATGGGAGCCTGGTGTCAAACTGGGAGCTGTGGCTGACCTCCCACTGACATCCACTCTCATCATTGTTCACCCATACAGTCTAGATTGCAATAGCCCTTGAACGGCCAGAATCCAGGTGTAAGACTAGATTTTTTCTTTTCTTTTTTTGTGATCAAGTGTTTATTGGATTGTACTTTTCATATTACATATTAGTTATAGAACATTCAAGCAAATCTTTTTTTTTTTTTTTTTTACATTCCCCTTTACCCCCATTACTACCCCTACCGTCCTTTGAGTCCCCCCTCCAACACACACATACAAAACTAACCTACACACACAAAGGACGCAGGAATTGACTAGTCAAAGGATATAAGCACATAATAATGATATGAGTTACAGCTCTATATATTATTTTGTCATCTCCAACATATGAGAAATATATAACGGCAACAAATACTGAAAATATTCTTATGTGTAAATCTATTATGCACATACTGTAGATACATATACATACACATACTAATGTTGATTTAAAATACACAAACAAACAACTACATTATTTCTAACTTAAACATACGCACTTATTTACACTGGCACCGTTTAGTGTATTTTTGTAACGGTTTACCTTACATACACATTTTCTATTCCCCACATGCCCCTACAGTGAGTCACAATACTGAAATTTCTTTACAGTGGTACAAATACAAGTTTTATTTTATTTTTTTCACATATTTTTTCACATATTTTTGCACACACACACTGATCTATGGTCAGCCAACTCAGACAACGGATACCTATTAAACATTTAGATCAAAGCTAATAAATACTACTTTATCATTCACATAATTCCTCTATGAGTTAAGTTGGTCTGTGAATCCACTAAAGTAAGTAAGCAGAGTTGACGTGTCATGGCTTTTTCAGCTCTCCCTTTTATGTCTTTGCTTCAATAATGTCATTTCAATGCATTCACGTTTTAGGTCATAGGCAGACACTAATGAAAAGTGGATGGAAAATATGATGTAAATACATGTAGAGCACTGATGTGGCATGCTCTTAGTTCCGTTGACAGACAGAAGCAGTGATGAGATGGATTTTCTTTACAAATCAAAGTTTGTGATTGGTATTAGGTGGAATCACAAGAGTCACTGGTCGCACATGGCCTCTATAGCAGCACAGATTGGACGTATTAGAGACGTGTGGAGTTACAGGAGTTCAGGCCTAAATGCTTCCATCTGTCTGACTCCCACCGCATGAGTCAGAGCTGACCAGAGCTACTGTGGCCTCTCACTACAACGCAATCCACTATGTAAACTCACAGTACGGATGGGCAATCTAGGAGAAACCAAATCAAGATTTATTTTCTCATTAGGATCAATCTCAAATTTTGATGAGATTTTGTTTTCTATTTGCAATTAGACTAAGTCAGACCAAGCCATTTCCTAGTCTGCAACTTCCTGCTACTTACACGGCAATAGAAATTATTCTGATTCTGATTTACTTGTTGTACCTTGCTCATAATACCAAACACTTTCAAAACACAAAGACAAAAAGGAGAACAATGTAATAAAACTATCGTCTTTGCTGTCCAAACAGTTGCTTTTTTTTTTTTATTTGCTTTTTCAGTTAGTGATAAAGAAATGACCACTCAGATAGTCCGCTCTCAGCCCAGAGCATCAAATAGTGACGCACAGGGCTCTTTCTAACAAGTATAATATGTTTTCTAATAAGACTGTAAGTGTGGTCTGATGTACAAGGTTATAATATATGTACAAGTTACCTTCATAGGCATTGTGTTGGTTCCATAGTAGAGGAAAGAAACGGCTAAAGTTGTATTTAAAGATGCTATACACTTTTTTTTTTTTTATGAGTTAATAAAAATGCTTATTACTACATACATTGTATAATTCGTAGCTTAATTGAAAACTTGAGCTCATTGATTTAGCTTGTGTATGAATTCAGGCCGTAAAAAGTGCTGAGTAGAGACTTAGCGTGACGCCCGCTCTCCTCCAATCACAGAACGAGGCTGCGTCCTTTAGCCTCTACAGCGCTGCTAAACACAGTAGCATGTTAGCAGAATTGGCTATAACTCCTCTTGCTGTAACTGCATTCACAGAAAAACAGCCCAAAACAACACAACAGTGAGGAAGAGGGAACTTAAGCGAAAAAATGATCAAAGAAGAAACCAAGCCCGGGTGAACATAGCTAGCTTACATCGTATCCTCTGGAAAGACTTGTCTATGGGAGAGACCTGCGGGACCGCCTCGGACTATCTATGCTCAGACTACATTCGGACGCGGAACTAGCGGTAATCTTTCAGTTATATATTTTGTCAGCAGTGCGTTGCTTTTGTCACCATCAGTGATTGTTGTACAGCTTAGAAGAAGTTGCGCTCATGCTAATGTTTGCATACGGATCAGATCGTAAATACAACTAGATGACTCCGTGGGATGAGAGCGTAGGGGAAACGTGAAGCCTGTGCAGAAACGGGTATAGCTTCCTTAAAAGACGATGCCATCGCCAACGATGGTTGCCCACATGTTTTACAAGTGATCAATTTACTCACGAACCGTAAAAGGTAGCAACGTGCACATTCCAGCCTTTCCGAAACGGGCTTCGGTTTGCCTGTGCGACGCACGGAAGATAAACTATGTGTGTATGAAAGTCAGTCCCCCAATCGGATCTTCGAACGGTGCCTCGTGAGCCTCACAGTTGTTTACTCAAACGGGGACCTCTGAGCGCTAGGCAGCAGCGCTCAGACGAGCCAGAGGAGTTCGCATTATTGAATATAGACAATAATAAATACAGTAAAATGATATTATGTGTATATAATGTATTTATATGTATAAATTAAATGTATATATTTTTTTGTCTTAGTTTGTTTTATTTTACGTATTTTACAGCTGTGATACAGAAGCAACCTCAGCCTTATACACAAACTGCTTGAGGAAGGGCATCAGGAGTACAGCGTTTTTGGCTTTTATAGTGGAATTTTGTAAAAATTATAATAGTCACAGGTTCAATTTTTTTCCCCATTATCCCCAAGACCATAAATAACATTTCTGTGCAGTGTAAAAAGTTATGTGTATAGCATTTCATTGTGTTTTTTCAATACAGTTTTGTGAAATTGATTTTCTGTTTCATTTTTTTCTTTGTCTTCATGATTCCATATTTTTTATATGAATATTCTAACACCCCAGGTTTACTGAAAAAAACAAAGTATACTGCTTGACTCTGCATCAAGATGACTGTTTTATGAGCAAATATACACAAAGAAAACCAGGCGAGGAAAGTTCCCCAAAATGACCCTAGACCTTAAACAGACCAGCGGTTATAAGTGAAGGACCTTCAACCAGAAGTATGAAAAGTAAAAATATGAATACTTGCATATAAACAACCCTTGTGACAGTAAAAGTATTCGAGTC